TTTTAAATCTATTTTTTGAATTATAAAATATTATTATCTAAAAAATCGCTCTATTTGATTGTAGCCCAAGTTAATATGTACAATCTAGCTTATTTCACTTTTTACTATTAGAATGACACCTAAAAATTATCCGCGGATTCCATAAGCGAAATCCGCAAATAGTGATCGACACATTACCCTAATAACTAATAGCGTTAAGGATTTGTGTCACGTTGAGTGTTTTAGAATTGATTTTTTTAGGATAAAAACAAAGAACAAATATGTATGAATAATATACATGTTTCATATAAATCACAAAAATAGTCCCAACCTGTCATTTTTAATCCATTTTAGATGTAATTATTTTTATTATTAAATTTTTCGTACCATATTTGCAGGATACTTGTTAAGAGGCCGTTTTTTCTAATTACGTAAGAAGTGAAAGCTATGTATTTGGGAGTATTAGAGTTCAAATGAAAAGACATCGTATTACGTACAAATATAGAATTGCGATCGCTTTTGGCGATAAAAAAAAAGAGATAACATAATAAAGCAAGGATGGAATTACTGCGGAAAAAAAAGAAATTTGTAATTTGTACTACTTACATCATTGTACCTAGCGTTGCGTTGCGTACGTACGCACATACGTGCGTGCTCCTGCGCTTTTGAATGGGACAAATGATTCAATCAAGTGATCCACGTGTTGTTACATGAGATTGTTCATAACAGATAAATCATTCCGAAGTATTCTTTACCAAAACAAAATTTGACCTTTAAACCTCTATAATCATGGGCTTTATCGAAGAATTCAAATCAAAGAACTTTTCTATCTATGGTCAATGGTATGTCACGCGTTTATAAAACTGACGATTGTTTTTTTTATTTAAAGTTCGATAAATGCTTTGAGTTTATACTGTACAAAAACTTTCCGCATGGTTTGTCTTTTCATACAAATAGTTTACTAAGCTTTAATAATTTTATTTGTTTAATGTAGGTTTGGCCTTGTAACGATACCTCGTAAGTTTTACTATTCATGAAATAACTTTTGCCTTGAGCATACCTAGTATTAATGCAAAGATTTTTTTTCTAGTTCTTATCATTTTCGGAATCCTTGCCTTCGCTTCTGTAGCTTTGGGTTTCGTATTTTCTATCCTTGTTTGGTACGCTTTTTTATCTGTCTTTATCTTTTTTAATCAAAACATTTTAAAAGTTATAAATTATAATCTTTGCCATTTAGGGTTTTAGCCTTTATTCTTATATTCGTTGAAATACCTCTATGCACAAAGGTTAGTTCAATGTTTATCTAAAAGCATTTTAAGGAATTGATTATTTACACTTCTTTTCATTGGCTTTATCGGTTCGGTAGATTTGTCCAACAAGTGATAGATTGTAAGTTTGAATCTTTATTATTTAGTTTTAAATCAATGTCTCTTAATATGTACTATACATTTATTTTTGTTTTTTTTTTCTTATATAGTGATTCTTTTGTCAAAAACTTTGAGAATCACTGGATTCGTACCGTCGGATATATAGTGTGCGCATTTAAAATTTTTCCTGAGATTATATAAAAACATATTTCTTAGTTCATTAATTATAATTTAGGTTTGCTGTCTTGTTGTTCGTATTTGCTCATTTTGCATCAACCTTATATGTTATTCCTGGGATTACATTACTTTTTACTGGTATTTGCTATGGTAATTATTATTATTATCGTTATTATTAATTAAGTTCCTGTAAATTTCTTTGAAATATTATCGGTATTTACGTATATTTCTCGTTGTAAATAGCAATCGCCGGTGGACTACGGCAAGACCATGCTGCTAGCTCGTTTACTGGTGGTGAATCCGTGTAGATATGTTGATTATCCAGTTTCGATGCTATTATTTTTGGAGGATTGACAGGCTGATATTATTGAATTAAAAACGTTTCTAATTCCATTTTTAAGGAAATATTTTTTGTTTATATTTACATAATTTTAATAATGTTTTTATGCTGACTTGTTTTTTTTAGCTAATTCTCAAATATCCTACGAAAGTCTTTTTTTGTATTTATTGTTATTGCATTTTAAAACAAATATATTACTACTGTATAAAGTTTTAAAATATACTTCACAATGTTGCTAAGCCATAAGTCTAAGGTTTCCAATTGACTCTTGTATACTTGTTATGTGGTACAATCATGGTATCACACTAAATAAATTGAAATGGATTTAAAATTAAAAATTTACTCTTAAGACCCTTTCGCCATCAGTGTTAGGGTTTGGGTGTGTTTTTGGTTTGATTTTATGTTACACCAGATTGCGAAATTTTAAGTATTTTGCAGATCAGTATAGTATAGGTGGGCAACATTTGGACGTGCCTACTAGTATAATTTTTAAGATAAAAAAAAAACTATATATTTTAATTCTATGTCATCCTCTTTGTAAAAAACAAAAAACATTAAATTGAAATGTTAAAAGCTAGAAACACAATCCAAATTTTCTTGTAGTTCTTAATTATTATTAGTTAACGTTTATCATAGAATCGATCTGGTTTAAGTAGATGTTCAAGCAACATCAAATACAGTAATAGACAATAATAATTGTGATCCCAACGCGCCTGTTTTCACATTTTTCTGTGATTTTAAACTTCAGATCGGCGAATAATGCGTAAATCACATATGAAACTATCATTTATGCTCTAACAAAATGTTTCTCATAAATCTAAAAAATAAAGAATTTAGTGATTTTCTTAGTTACGGAACTGCGATAACGTCATCATTTATTTAGTTCATCAAAAGTCTGCACTCATTAAAAAATCGGCAAAAAAAAATTCTGATAACTGAATCGACACAGTAACTTATCAATTCGCCGAAACTTTAAGTTATAGTTTAGAAAATCATATGACTACGTTCTATTCTGACAAATCTTAGAACTATTCTATAACCACCCTAGCATCACCAACCTAAAAAATTTCGAAATTATAGCAGATCAGTATGGTATAGGTGAGCATATATATAGTATATACGAAATTATAGCAGATCAGTATAGTACAGGCCAATTTTTAAAATTATATACTATACGGATCTGCAAATATAATACCTGGTCCATATAGTATAGATTTAAAAATCGGCCTATACTATAAGTATATTTAATATATTTATATCCAAATGCTACAATACAAATTATTTCGTTTAATAAATAATAATTTGTTTATTACCTCATGCGATAGGCAGTTTTTATTAGAGGTAATTTGATTACCTGCATCAGAAAAAAAACACTCACTCAAAACTAAAGTAGCAGGGATTGATAAATATTTATGTGCTATTTTACTTAGAGTAGAAAAAGATTTTTTATTTGTATGTCACTACTGATAAAACAGGTACTATTGTTTCATTTAAATAGTTTTTGATTTTATCTATATTATTTGCTTTACCTTGATCACTACCAGAACCAAATACTTTTCTCATAAAACAGGAAGTATTAGTTTCTTCAGGTGGTTCTAATTTATTATCTATAATTGTATTTTTTCACATTTGAAATTTAGCTTTTAATTGTTCAATTAAGGAGCTAACAATTATCAGGTGATTTTCTAGGGGGGGTTAAAAAAATTAGAATTTTATATATAAGACCTGATAATTTATATATTAAAAACTGAGAAGGTAAGCCTCTGATAAAAATAAATCAAGTGATAAATAACACTGCTTTTACTTTTTGTCATATTTTTTTAAACAATGAGCTTATTAATTTTAATCATAAATCTATTATAGTAGATATTAATTTAATATTTTTTGAATTCTTAGAACTATTCTAGTAGCTTCACAAAAAGTTATAAATAATATCTCTAAGTTTTAAAATTACTATTTGAGGTGAGAATAGTTCTTTATTATTGTTATCAAGTTTATCATCACTAGAATTTTCTCTAATAATTCATCTAAAGTAAAAATACTGTACTTTAGCTTATAGAAATAAGATATGTTTAATAAATAAAATAGTTAAATATTTTACTATTAAAATTCTCTCTAATAAAATTACTATTAGCATATTTATACTTTAGTGCTTCAATACTTGAGTAACAACTGAAAAAGTTGTATATTGTGCTCTACTAAAATAGGTCATAAGATCATTGAATAGCTTAAAAATTTCGACTAACTCTTTTAGTAGCTCCCATTCATGATCTCTACATCAGTAAAAATATATAAAAAAAAATTATAAACTTACATAAAATATAGCATAAAACTATATATATAAGACTTACAGTGCATAAAAAATCATAAACTTATATAAAATTTTACATAAATTTATGAGTTTCTTACAGTGCATAAAAAAATTGTAAACAAATATAAAAATTTTATGTAAGTTTATAATTTTCTTACACACCATAAGAAACTCATAAATTTACGTAAAATTTTTACATTAGTTTACAATTTTCTTACACATTATAAAACTTACAAAAGTTTACAAAAGTATATAAAAATTTATAAATCCTATTAAGATTTAATCTTAAGAAAAATAAAAATATTTATGAAACATTTTCATGAACTTATGAAAGTTTACAAAAGATTAAATTGATTAATAATTTTTTTAAATAAATCAATAACAGAATGAAAACTTATAAAGCATTTTTTAATACTATAAAATATTTCAAACTATTTTGCACTTTTTTTTTAGTCTTATTCAAAAATATATGTTATAAATGATGAATTACTTGATTTATATTTTTGTAACTTTATGAACTTACAAAAGTTTACAAAAGGTTTAAATTGATTAATATTTTGTTTTTAAATAAATCAATAGTGTAATAAAAACATGTAATGCATTTTTCAATACTATGAAACTTTTTGCATTTTTTTTTTTTAGACTTATACAAAAATATATTATAAATGATGAATTACTTGATTTATATTTTTGTAACTTCATGAACTTATGAAAGTTTATGAAAGTTTTAAATTGATTAATATTTTGTTTTTAAATAAATCAATAGCATAATGAAAACATGTAATGCATTTTTTAATACTATGAAATATTTCAAAACTTTTTGTATTTTTTCTTAGACTTATACGAAAATATATGTTATAAATGATGAATCACTTGATTTATATTTTTTGTCTGTGATTTTTCAAAAGTTTACAAAAGATTATAAAATAATTAGTAACATATTAATAAAATCTATACTAAAACAAACATTGATAACTTTTAAATTATTTTTCATTACTTTAAAATATTTTAAAAGCTTTTATATACTTGTAACACTATTCAAAAATATACTATAATAAAATATACATTATAAATTCATATAATTTTGTGAATTAATCTAAAAGCAAATTGCTTTAGATAATTAGATTTGTTTAAATTTGTTATATTTTAAAAACTATAATTTTTTTTCAATACCTAGCATAAAAATATAAAATTTTTCTTATATTTTAATATTTTAAATTGTTCAATTTTTGAAAATAAATTAAAATTGTATTACAAATTTGCTATTAAGTCAAAAATGCCTTTTGCAATATTTCAAAATATCTTAAAGTATTTAGTCTATTAATGAAATTATGCGAAGTATTGCAAAATATTTTAAATATATTTGCTTTATTTTATAATATTTAATCTATTAATAAAATTATGTAAAGTATTGCAAAATGTTTTAAATGTATTTGCTTTAATTTTATATATTATTGCTAATTGTTTAATAAATTTCTTGTGTTTTAAAAAATAATTTATAAATTATGTTTTCTAAAAACTTTTTCTAATTTTTGTTATTTTTTATTATAAAAATATATTTTTATTTATTATTTTAAGTAATTATTACATTTCTAAACTAAAATATATATTTATTTACTAAATAATTATTGATTTTATCAAATCTTGAAAATATATAAACATTATCTTTTTTTTTAATTATAAGGGTGTAGCATCCATATTTAGACTTTATTAATACTTAAATAATTAATATATGATAGTGCCTATATATATATATATTATATCAAGTACTAAGACTAGGACATCAGGTATACAAACTATTTATCTACAGCTAAAACCTACCAGAGCCAACTGTATTCCCATTACACAGCTAATCTGAATTTGTATATCCCTTCCCAACTGCCAATTAGTATTTACATATCTGCCACATTACCTACATTATCTACTCTTTCAACTCTCAAATCAGTGTATATTGCTCCAGGTAGGTGTTTGTCGCTTCTGGTTTAGTGTGTCTAACAGAGAATTACTTACTTAGTTTCTACTAGCATACTTCCAGGAGTTCATATTTCAAGCTATGCAACTGCTTCTACCCAATTGGATAAGTATCTCAAGCCTGTATGCTGCTATAACTAGCTAGTTTTCTGCAACTTTAGGACCTAGATCTTAATATATCTATTTTGGTAATTGTGCTAATGACTATACTTCCCAATATAGTAATGAGTTTTCAGATATGTTTTGCAAAATGCTTTCAGTAGTTAATAATATAGTTAGGTGGCATAATAAGGCTTAGAGGTAACAGGTACATTATTGTTTCTTTTTATTGTGATTCTTGGCAGTTGTATCACTACATGCATTTATACTAGCTATACCTTATTGGTGTTTCCAAGTTCTCTTAATACCCAAAGGCTTCTATATGGGTTAACCAGAGCCTGATAGATCTATCAACACATACACGCCTCCATACTTTAACTTCTTATTGGCTAGTGAGTTCTATACTGCCAAAGGTGTTTCAAATTTGGTAAGGTCAATTCTTTATTACAGGTCTTTTTGTGTCACCACATTTCTTACTATCCAGTCATCCTCCTAAACAAGATACCCAATGCCACCTTAGAGGTTGTTGGTGCTACCTTGCCAATTGCAAATTTACACGCAAACCTTTGTGTAATAAAACCTTCTGT